AAAAGTGGTACTCTAAGTGTTTTCCAAAAAACGCCCCAAAAATTATAATCCTCTCTATTTTCTTTCTTTCCCAATTTTAGGAACATTTTTCTAAAATTCTTTACACTCAATTGTGTATTCCTATTCTATGTTTTTGTACATTGAAGAGGGATTCGCTACCTCTATTTATAGGAGAGGTTACAAGAAGGAGAGGTTACAAGAGAGCCGTGTATAATTCATTCACGGCTCTCCATATTTGTCAAAGTTGCATGCCAACTTTTGAATTGCTTTGCTGCCAACCTTTGAACAACAAAAAAAAATGTGCCCCTTTTTTTTTCTTTGTTCAAAATTGTGTAGGTCCCACAACCATTCATTTTCTTCTTTTTTTATTTTTAAATGTGTATGGGTCCCACATGTTGGAGGGACCCCATAATAAAAAGACCTATAAGACGCTAGAAGTAGCTAGTCACTAGGACGGAAATTGCAATTAGACAAGAGAAGCTCATTATATGTTTATTGTAAAATTACTTAAATGCCCTTATTTTGTTTGTGGCTCCTAATTCCGCCTGATCCATTACAACAATACACTTTAATTTTGGCATGGCCAAAATAAAATGTAAAAATGTAAAGTGAATTAATTTATTTTGATGAGAGACAATTATTTTAAGAGATTATAAAAAATTGTCAAAGTACATGATTAAATTTATATATTAAGATATTGGTAAACAAAGCAAAAATTTTCGTTTCTAAAGGTCGATAACAAAAATATCGCTTCAAAATTGTGCGTTTGATTACGTTAATACTACAAATAACTTTGATTTCGTTATTACAACTCGATAGCGGACCTAGACTTGGCCACGGTTCCGGAACCGGCGGTTCCGGTTCCAGAAAAGCTGGAACCGGAATGGTCCGGTTCCGATTCCGGTTCCGGTTCCGGTTCCGATCCGATTATAAAACCGACGGTTCCGATTGGTTTTCCGGCGAATCGCATAATTTTAACAGGTCCGATTTGGTTTTCCGGCGAAATCGCATGAAATTTTAAAATTTTAAATTTTGAAGTAACTGTTTAAAAAAAAAAATTATGTGAACATAAAAAATTAAAAATACAGTTAAAAAAAATTTTTAAAATATGAAAGACCGGTTAAAAAAAAAATTTATTTGAAATTATAAAAAAATTAAAAAAAATACACCTAAAAAATTTAAATTTTGAAGAATCGGTTAAAAAAAAAATTATTTTGAATCATAAAAATTAAAAAAAATAACACTAAAAATTAAAAAAAGGTACTTCAATTTAAATTTATTTTTTTAAAAGACTTGAATTGTTGAGTTGTTGAACATAATGATTTTTTTTTTAAAAAATTTTGAAATGAATTTTTTTTTTTAAAAGTTTGAAAAATAATTTAAAAAAAAAATGGGCTTGAAACTTAATTTTTTTTGTTTAAAAAAAAAAATTAAGTTGCCTAACGTATCCTCTTGGGGTTTAGGAGGAATCAAAGCCCACGTAGTTCTTTACTTACCTTATGATCAATTTCAATCGCCTTTTACCTTAATCGCTATTTGCAACCTCACCCGGTTGATGTTCCCAGTTGAGGACGCTATCGTATAATAATCAATAAAATCTTGCATTTTCTTTTGGATTTTCTTGGGCTCCTTAGTTCGGCTTTGGTCAAATCATGCCACTCACACTTTGTGCTTTTAATGGAATCGGGTGTCAATATGAGATCGTGTTTCATCAAGTAGTTACCTCCTTGTGACTACAAAGCTTGTTCCAACCGCAACAGTGGATGACCGGAGCAACAGTGGAGACCGGAGCTACTAAAATTTGTTTTGCAAGTAAAGAAAGAATTGAAAAAGTATTTGCGTGACGACTCCACCAATCTAAAATTGGAAAATCTGCATCAGCATAATCATCACCAAACTCAAAAGAAGTTGTTAGATAATTATCAAATTCAGAAATAGAACTGGATTCCCTTGTTCTTTTTTGTCTTTGCAATGAAACTTATTGAGCAACACCAACACCACTTACCCTTTATGTTGAAAATTGTGGAATATTAGATTGAGAAGAAGTAGAAATAGAAGTAGATGAACTAGAAAAAACTTGAACAAAATTCATTATATAAGATTGCAATAATATTTTTGTTTAACTTCATTGCAACTATAGCATTTATATTAACATTATCTTCCTACAATCAACGATTTAAATACGTCATAAATAAATAGGTCAAATAATCAATAAAACATCTATTCTAACAATCTAGGATCAAATAATAAATAGCAACAAAGAATAAGAGGTGGATATATTTTAAAATTTAACGATAACGCATTTTTTTCATTGAAAAATATACAAATCTTTTAATAAATCATCTTTTGAAATTCTTGAGTGGGCAGTAACAATATTAATACAATCCATAGGTTAAAAATAAATTAGATGTGAGATAAAAACCCACTAAATTTATAGGTAGGCATCATTAAAAAATTTTTTAAAAAATATCTAAAAATTTTTGCAACAAATCTCCCAATTTTGTGGAATATAAATTAATTATCCTCAATATTATTAGTAACAAAAAATATTATTAGTAACAAAAAAGTATAATAATTCTTTATAAGAAAAAGACTCGTTTAGTAATTCATATGTTGAATTCCAACGAATTGGGACATCCCTTAGAAAACGTTTTGGTCTTTTATTATTTTCTTTGCAAAATTTAGCCCAACTTTTCATCACTTGGGGATGTCCCCATAAATATGAAATAGTTTTTTAATTGGAGAAATAAAAGATTCAAGAATTTTTAAACCATCATGTACACATAAATTTAAAACATGACATGCACATGGCATGCACATCTTATATGAAAAAATTTACCACCAATATTTGGTTCACAAATTTTTTTAAGTTCAATAATTGATCTAGTATTTGCAGAAGTATTGTCAAATGAAATTGAAAATTTTTTTTTCAACCTATATTCATCTAAAATTGAAACAATTACTCTATAAATATTATTTGCAGTATGTTTATCATCAAAAACACGAAAATCAATAATTATTTTTTGAATTTTCCAATCATCATCAATCCAATGACATGTAATACCCATATAAGAATGCATTTGCCAATGATCACTCCAAACATCACAATCAAACAAACAAATTGAAACACCCGAATTTTCAATTGAGAAAATAAAAGCTCTAACCTCATTTTTTTCTTTTGTTATATAAAGAAATAATAGTTTGTTTTACCAGTAATTTCTTCGGTACTCTTTTAGCAAGCAAGGGATTTAAAAGCTTTTTTGACATAATTATTAAAAAACCTACTTTTTCACCAAAAACTCTAAAAAGATAAATGTTCCCATAGAAAATCATTAATCATTTTTGCTAATTCTTCTTTTTATATTTTTTCAGAATATTTAAATAAAGAAAGGTTAGAAGCGTACCCGGAAATTTGTTGTTGAGACCGATCAACTACTATTTTTGTTGGATGTTTTGCCTCCAAATGCTTCCAAAATGATCCATAGCCGTCCGCTTATTTAAATTTATAAGATTTTCCACAATAATTGCAAATTATATCGTTAATTGCAAATTATATCGTACATTTTCTCACCTTTGAATTTTTTTGTGAAATGAATGGAGAATATGTCGGAACTTTATCTTGCTCTTGTAACAATTTTTGCTCGTAGCTCTTGCTCTTGCTCTTCATCTTCTTAAAATTGCTCATTAAATTCGGATTCTTGAGTTGGAATATCCAAATTTTCATTTGGAAAACCCTCAAAATTACATTGGTCGGGAATCATATCATAGATGTCGTTTGTAGGGATAGATGATTCTCCAATTTTTCCCTTGCCCTTACCCGAATTTGAGTTTCCTCCACTTTTTCCCTCACTTGCCCATTATTAATGATAATAAAATATAATTTGGGAAAATTGAATAAAAAAAATTAGAGAGAATAATTACTTAATAAGAGAGATTGTATGAGTAAGAGGAAGAATAAATGATAATATAGAGTAGAGTGTAGTATATTGTAGAGAAGAGTAGTAGAAAGAGTGTAGTATATTGGTAGAGAGAGTAAGTAGAGAGAGTTGAGATTTTTTGTAATGAATTTGTAAATAAAAATGAGGTATTTATAGTAAATCCCAAAAATTCATTTTTTCCAAAAAATAACCCCTTAAAACTAGCCGTTTATATAGCCGTTTATGGCTGTTTGGGGAGGGGTATTAAGAACATTTCACAACAATTTAAAAAAAAAAACTGTAAAATCTGACAGTTACAACGGCTAGAACCCGCCGTGTTTTGAAACCGGTTCGAACCGGCAGTTCTAACTGGATGGAGAACCGGCGGTTCCAGTCCGGTTCCGACCGTTCCGACCGGTTCTCTGGAACCGCCGGTTCTGGTTCCTCATTTGCTGGAACCGGAACCGAACCGGATTTTTCCGGTTCCGATTCCGGTTCGTCCCAGTTCCGATTCTCACCGGTTCCGGTTATGGTTCCGGGCCGGTTCCCGGAACCGTAATATGGCCATGGCTAAGCGGACCCACTAAATGCTAGCATTCAAAACCAAACGGGCACGGGCAGAACAGAGCCCACAGCGAGGAATATGAATATCTCAGCCTCATCCCAAAAAACAAAGAGAAACCATCCACGCCACGTGGATATGCAAACTTCTCGTCTTTCTCACTTTAACTGCAAGATAAAACCAAAATAATAAATAAATAAATATATAAGCAGTTTAACAGGATTTCAAGATAAAACCAAAATAATAAATAAATAAATATATAAGCAGTTTAACAGGATTTCAATGGAATACGTACTACCTGGACAAGGACTGCCATTCTTATTCCCCAGCCATTATAAGCTTGCTTCTCCTACTCGCTTGCTTTTCACTCTTACTCCACTTTCGGTTTCGATCATCCAGGTTCTCTCCCTTTTTTTTATTGATTGCTTTCAAGTTTCTAAAAGTGCAATATTTATTCGTGTGTCAACTGTTTCTGCATTCGGATTCTTATTTTGATTCCTTTTTTATTTTAATTTGTCAGTTTTTGGTTATTGATTAATTGATTGCTTTCAAGTGTCTGCAATTTATTTATGCATTTTGATTTTGATTTTAATTTCTGACAATGTAACTTCAATTCCATAACCATGCAGCAAGTAAGGTAGAATGTACACTCTATTTCATGTGTTTCTATTTATCATCCCTCTCTCTCTTTATTTCTTTCTAATTTTGGGATTGATCAATTTGTTTGGTTGAATTAACTTTGGCTGATTTTTGTACAATTTCTAATTTATTTTGCTAGTTCGAATTAAATTCTTGTTTGCAGAATCAGAAAGAAGAGACTCGATAAGAAGTTGACATTGTTGGTGTCTAGAATGGCTGATCATGAAAAGAAGACAGTAACTTCTGATGTCATCTCGGGGGATATGATTTTTGAGCCTATATGGGAGGATGGAATTTTCCGATTTGATTGTTGTGGTGATGATAGACTTGCTGCATATCCTAGTATTTCATTTATCAATACTAGAGACAATACTAGAGATAGGGATACACCAATCAACAATCATTCTTGTTTCCTTTATATATACCTACTTTTGTTTGAATGTCTTCTAGGCAAAGCCTGATTGTTAAACTTGAGTGAGATATTCATAGATTTTTCATATTTGGTACCCAGTTTAACTAGTTAAATTTTTGGTTGGTTTCTTTTTTGGGAACCTAGTTTGGTTTTAGTTTTATTTTTCTTCTTCACAGCATCTTTAATGTGAATGTCCTTTTTTCTGGTCTAGTTTCCCATGGTAACTCCTTTTATGGAACTGGAGAAGTTAAGTGGACCACTCGAGCGGCAGGGAAAGAAGAGTAAGGTCATTGGTTTCTCATGTCTACAAACATCAAGTAAACAAGTTGCTCACATGCCAGCTCTAACAATGTTTTTCTTTTTGCAGTTAGCCCTCTTTCTTTGTTTATGTTTAATAAGCAGTTAACCCTTTCATTTTATTGGTCTATATATATCAGGCATGCGACGAATGTTAAAGATTAGTGGATTCATATATTATTTTGTCGTTGTGAAGTTATTGATGCCTGCGACTACTTGCACAATACTCCTATGAACTATAAACTTGTGAAAGTTTTGATCCTCACTCATAACTCCAAACTTCCATAGACTCAAAAACTCTTGCTTTTTGCACAAGTTTGTATATGTGTGTAATAATTGCAAAAATCTGATAACCACACAGCTAGAACAACCATACAAATAAACCCTGGAGTGCGTATTTTAGTTCAAAAGTTTTCTAGTCTTTATCTCTACCTGTTGGATTAGAGGCATCAAACTCGTATAGAGTTCTCAAACCAAATCCTTATAGATTCCCAGCATCACAAGCTCCAGAAATCCCTTCCCTTATTCGTCAGAGAAATTTAGACTTTCAAATAAAAACCAAATTAGTAATGCTATGGCTCGCAGCATCTAAATTTCAGCAGTTTCGTTTCAAAAATGCAGGTTTTCACTTGGAATACAGATGCATGGGGTTACGGCCCTGGAACTACGTCTTTGTACCAATCGCATCCTTGGGTGCTTGGCTAGCTGTTCTCCAAATGGAGAGGCACTGGGGGTTCTTGCTGACACCAACTCGTCGCTGTGAGGTTATGTTACATTTATTTATGGCAAACTGTTTTAAAATCTTTTAATTAAGTGCTTAATATATTTACCTAATTTACTGCCAAAACAATATTAACACCAGATTGATCTGAGGAAAGAGTCAAGAATTCAGGTTCAATTGCTCCAGCAATTGTATCCTATCATTACATTGGTCCTTTTGCTTCACCTACAGAATGTTCTTAAACTCTTTATCCCGAGCTATTGGTAATTTTCCTTGGACCAAATTCCAAGATTTTTTTTCTTGTTTAATCTATTCTGTCCTTTTGATGATATTTTTTGTGTGCATGTTGTGTCAGCTTTGGTCTTAGCACTATGTTAATATTTTATTCTACATACAATTTATAGTAGCTTATGTGGATGGATTTTGACCTAGGTGGTGGTTCATAGGTTTTCAATTTCCTAACCATCAATCTTGGACAAAGAATCATGCCATTTATAACCATGGTAGAAGAACACAAAACTGTTTTATATGTTGGTATATATTACCTTTGGGTTAAATAATTAAATCATACCCAGGTAGCCTTTGGGTGAAATCTATTTGTTTATTTTTTTTTTTCTAATTTTTTTATTGTGGTTAAGTAATTTATGCTTAAAACCTGTGGTTAGGGAACTGGTTTTTTTATGCCTCCCAAAGTGGTCCCTGGGATAATCACCAATGCCCGTTGGAGCTAATGAATTCGCGATAAGAAAGGGGTTCGTGCGGTATGATTTTGATGCATTTACGCAGTTGACGTGTTAAGCACTTTGGGATCTCAACTATACCGTCTTATGGCATGTTGAACACTTTGGGATCTCAAGCTATACCGTTTTAACTGTGGAAATACAGTTTTTATTATTTCTCATTGGCAAAGTCTTTTCTATTTCTTGCACTATGGGTCCTTTGATGGTTGCATTTGTCTTTAATAGATTGCCAGAACATTTAGGGAGAAGGACATTTAGGGAGAAGGATATACCATGTGATGTCATATGGATGGACATTGACTACATGGATGGTTTTCGCTGTTTCACATTTGACCAGGTATGCTTCTCTTAGATCCTTCGGATATTAAATTTATTGCAACCTGTACTCAGAAAGTGAAACCTGCCTTCCTACATAACAGTGTAAGTCTAGGGATGCAAATACAATGACACTGAAGTATTCAAGTCTTTAAAGGAAGCAAACTAACCCTCCTAAATTTTTATTTATAGGAGAAACAGTGGAATACGGAGATATTATCAGCAGTTAATAATATGCATTTATTACTGAGCTTTACAACTTCATTATTTTCTGTCTTTAATGTCTTCTGAATGAAGGGTTTTTGGCATGGATAGATTGCCTTTTGTTTGATAATGATTCTCAAATTTTGATAGGAAGATTTATTATGAATTGTTTCAAGGAGATGTTTTGCCAGATCCTCAAAATCTTTTGGTGAAAATCTCCATGGACAGTGATTTTAAAGCCAATTTGGGATGCCTGAGGCCAAGCCCGGAGGTAATCACATTATGTATTGAAGCAGGGCTAAAGTCGAGTGTAGTATCGTATTATGTATGAGGTGCCGAAAAAATGCTAGATTCACTGTACCATATCTAAAGTAGCTAGATGTGTAAGACTCTTAATATAGAGTGTTGTGATTTTACTTAGATCCTCGCAAAAATTGAGTATAGTTAACCTGTATTAGCATTTTACTATTGGCCTCCATCTACACCAAGTTCTAATTGAACACACGGACGTAATCGAGAGTGAATATGATAATAAAATTAAATACCCTGAAGAAAATTATGCATTATCAACGGAAATAAACCACCAAACAAAAACAAGAAAAGAGCTCATTTGTACATAAATGTTTGTTGAAACTGTGACCCAGTTTCGAGGAAGAAAGCGCGCCAGTGGGCTTGCAGAAAAAAAAAAAAAAAAAAAAAAAAAAAGAAAAAGCAAAAGGAGAAAAAAAAAAAAACTATTGTCATTGTTTTTAATTACCCATTTGCAGGAGAGGTGTGGCCTGGACCTTGTGTTTTTCCAGACTTCACTCAGTCAAAAGTTCGCTCTTGGTGGGCTAATTTAGTTAAAGATTTTATTTCAAATGGTGTTGATGGCATATGGAATGATATGAATGAGCCAGCCATTTTTAAGGTGATTACCATGTCTATTCTCAGTTCTTGCAATTTCTGCAGCGCCACCTGGCCTTATTATTTTACTTTTCAGACAGTAACTAAGACGATGCCTGAAAGCAATATTCATCGAGGGGATGTTGAACTTGGAGGATGTCAAGATCACTCATACTATCACAATGTATTCATCTTGAGCCTGACTTTTGTAATTTTTTAATGGCAGAATGATTTCTCATTCTATGATCTCTAATGGAATTTCCTACGTACACTATATATTTTCATCTATGGCAGGCACAGAGCAATTGATTTACTGCTAATTTCGTCATATTCATTAAGTTGACTATGAGACTTTCAAATAAGTGTGATATGGAATTTTAATTTATTTTAGTATATACAGTATGAAAGCCAGTATCTATATCTCTTCACTACACCATCAGAAGTCGCATGCTTTTGTCACCTATGTTTGGTCGTATGGTCATGTGATCGTGTCTCATTGAGTTCTATCGAAACATTTTTGGAAGGTCACTTATTGAAAGTATATAATGGGCATACTCATTCCATTAGATTGAATTCTAACTAACATAGCGTCCCTATTGTTCTCCACTAGATGACTGGATATTTCACTATGATTGGATAGTCACCAATAGCCCCCCTAACAAATTTTCTTACCCAATTGCTGGAAAACTTTCCTTAGAACTCCTAAGTGTCCTTCCAATACCACAAGGTCCAGTAGAAACTAATGCTTTTTCTAAAATTGTGAGGCAATCTGCACAATGGTGCCTATCGCAACAAATGGAGGCCCAAATATCATCTCCAAATTTTGGTATAGTGAATTTTCCCGTAAATAACAACAGTGTAATGGGAAAGCTTCTGGAGACGATAAATAAGCTCCAGCCAGAAGGTATGTACAGTCATACTGAAGGCTAGTTAAAGAACCGAAAAAGTGTAACCCAAGCCGAAATTACACTCAAATTTATGCACAATGTAGTATTAGCTTCCAGGCGTCAGCACCACTTCTTTAATCTCTGCTCACAATTTCCTTAGATTCTCAAGCCGATCATTATGTAATTTAGGGACAGTTCAATGTGGTGATTGTTTTATTTATTTTTTATATCGAAAACCAGACAATTTCTGAAATCGAAGTCCTTGCTTTAGGTGTATGGCATGCTGATGGCAAGATCAACATTTGAAGGCATGAAATTAGCTAATGAAAACAAGCGTCCCTTTGTTCTCACTAGAGCTGGATATATTGGTAGCCAAAGGTATGCTGCAACACGGACAGGAGATAATCTTTCAAATTGGGAGCATCTGCACATGTCTATCGCCATGGTACTTCAATTGGTAAGTAATTTTGGTAAACACTGGATGGAAAGTTGGAGACTTTAATGCTCCACCAGAGGTATGAAGTCATACTTGAAGGCTATTGACAAAATTACCCAAGGAAAACAATGAACTGTATGCTCCCTCGCACCCACTTCTTTTAATCTCTCCAAATTTTCTAGATTCTCAAGTTCTCCTAAATTCTGCCGCATCCTTGTAGCCCACAAAACTGCCAAAGCGATGCTTTCCTCAACTCCTTGTACAGAACTCTAAAACTAGAGCCCCTCCAAATGCTTTGTTCTGGCTCTACCTCTCCACACAGACCCAAGGAAATCGAAGAGCACCATTGAACAAAGCTCGACCCAGAATTCTAACCTATTCATGATAATAAGCAAATTGCTGACCTTGTTTTCCTTAAAGTAACCCCCTTTATCTTCACAAGTTCTTCCTTCTTCTCTTGAATTCATAATTGAACCTCAGTATTTCTAATGTCATAATTTGAGTTTGAAGGAACAAAACGCTTCTTTTTTTTATTCCCCTAGAGAGAGAAATAAATTACTTAAACAAGTAAAATTTATTTTGAATTTACCTCTTGCCACATAATTATTGGCCCTGATTTTTTGTTTTTAATTTATGAACAGGGACTCAGTGGTCAGCCACTTTCAGGGCCTGATATTGGTGGAGTTGGAGGAAATGCAACGCCCAAGTTGTTTGGTAGGTGGATGGGTGTAGGCGCAATGTTTCCTTTCTGCCGTGGACACTCTGAAATTGGCAGTTCTGACCATGAGCCATGGTCTTTTGGGGAAGAGGTTTGTCCAATGAACTAGCAATTTCATAATAGCTACCAAAATGATATATAAACTTTCCATTTTAATTGAGTGGAGCCCAAAGTTGATATGTGTGATGATATCACGTGCTTGCATATTGTAATGTAGATGGAGGTTCATAGGACAAGAGTATAGAGAAGCAGAGGTTTAGTGCATGATGCTTTGCACAACAAGAAATGAACTGGCTAGGAAGAGGCATGAGAGGAAGGATGGGCAAGGTTAATGGACCTTGTGCATGATGTGACCTAAGAACTAGAAAGGTGATGCCCTCTTGGACTGTCTTGTATTGATAATTGAGATAAGAATTTATGAAGTGAAAAAGGGGATGTTGCGCTTTGATGTAGCTAAAGAATATATATAAATTCATGAGGCTAGAGAGAGAAAGAAGTAGGTAGTGAGGGTGAGTTTCAAGGTCCTCCAAAACAATAACTGACTGGGGTATCTATAGAGAAACCATGAGGCTTGAGCATCGTTAATCTCATGCCACATGGCATTGTTTTAAGGCGTCTAGTGAGGTTGTCTTGATATGGAAAAGGCTTGTTACTGATTAATGTTCAAAGATTGAGTTGCACGTTGTCTGTTAAACAAGGTCAAGAGTTGGGGAACTTTTGTTCTTGATGGGCTGTACCCTAAGCTGATCATGCCAAAACCAGTGATTCAATAGCCTTGCACTGGCTCATAATTAATCCTTGTTATGAATGAATTAGTAGATAGAAATGATATATTGATGTTTCTATTCATATTTTTGTCTCTTTCTAAATTTTCTCTATCACCTTCTAAGTTTGGGTTCCTTATCCTATTATGTTGTTACCTTCATTATTATGTTGTTACCTTCATTATGAACTAAATTCAATTTCATTAGTGTGAAGAAGTTTGCCGTGTTGCTCTAAAGAGACGTTATCGCCTGATACCACACATATACACACTGTTTTATGTTGCTCACACTACGGGTAGTCCGGTAGTAACTCCTACTTTTTTTGCTGGTATGATCATGTGCTCTTTAACAATATATTGCTATTTAAAGGACTTTTGATAACATAAATTCTTTTCAATAGTTAATACTGATAGGTGAACATAAATTGGCTTATGCAGATTCTAAAGATCTGAGCTTAAGAACGCTTGAAAATTCCTTCTTATTGGGTCCACTTCTTATCCACGCAAGGTTTTGTTCTCTTTATCCCGAGATAATTTGATAGATTATTTTGATTTGTAGAAACAGGATTTGTTCTCTTTTCCAATTGTGATTTAAATCAAGGTGTATATATACACATAAAACTTCAACTATATAGGAAATTTACAATAAAGTAAAGAAAACAAGAATTCCAAAAAATCCTCTAAGTCAACAGATTATGATGCAATTACAAACTTGTATGTACTTGAGGGGCCTAATATCATCACTCACAATGGGAAGTGGTTTATAACCTTTTCTTCTAATTATTATTATTAGTTGCGTGAGAGGACTGGTCTGCGGTGGAATGGTTAGATTTTAAGTTGGAAATGAAGGCTTGTGAAGGCTTGTGCATCTGATGACCGAGAGTCCTCACTTCATGCAAAATAGGATGTCCTGTTTCCTAAATTGCCTTTCGAAGGTCCTACTTGCCATTGTCATCATTTGGTAATTGCCTCTTTTTCCCCTTTCCCCACCTACACGTTATGACTGATTGAAGGACAACTAGGATTCAAAAATCTAATTGAAGAAATTTGTTGGGGGATGAATCCACGTGAAATAATAATATAATAACTAGAGAACTTATAATGGAATGAGTATGAACTTATTACAAATGATGTAGAACCAAAAAGAATAAAGGCAAACAAGGGACAAATCATTAAGAATCATTAAGAAAGAGAGAAACTAATTCTCAATTGTATTATGCTAAAATAATTCTCATATCAAAGTTTAATTACAATGCGAAGTGTTTAAATAGTTCTAAAGAATGTTAGGAGTGGGAATCCTAATATACGTAGGAATATGCAATCACAAAGCACTACAATCTCTACTTTCTTTTCCTAAAATAAGTACTCCTAAAATCTCTAGGAATAGGAGTTGCATCAACTCCTCTTGGTCGGAAAGAATTTGACTTTGAAATGGTCTGGAAATAAGCATCCAAAAGAGAAGGATCCAAAGTCTGAAATTCCTTTTGTGTAATCAAAAGTCTGAAATTGGTTTTCTGCAACTGGGTTTCAACTCTCGCTCACTTATAAGCTTATGTGTGTGGGCCCATGGACTTTAACAGGATTAATTAATTAAGCACTTGTTAGTTTTGATGTTTGGTTATGTGTTTCAATTTAATAATCCATTAATTTACCAAAAAATTGAGCTAATTTTGATTAGCACTTTAGTATCAGTTCCTTGTTTTAACCACAAAGTTCATCCCTACTTGATTGGCTGATTTTTTCATTCTTTTTCCTTCCATAGGAATCCACTGGATTAGTTATTTCATGCAGATTGTTGGTTCGGTATGTGTTTCCAAATAATTTAATAATCCATTAATTTACCAAAAAATTGAGCTAATTTTGATTAGCACTTTAGTATCAGTTCCTTGCCTTGTTTTAACCACAAAGATGTCATCCCTACTGGTTTCAACACTCGTTCACTTATAAGCTTATGTGTATGGGCCCATGACTTTAACAGGATTAATTAATTAAGCACTTGTTAGTTTTGATGTTTGGTTATGTGTTTCAATTTAATAATCCATTAATTTACCAAAAAAGTGAGCTAATTTTGATTAGCACTTTAGTATCAGTTCCTTTCCTTGTTTTAACCACAAAGATGTCATCCCTACTTGATTGGCTGATTTATTTTCCTTTTTATTATCTTGCATTCACCCACTCGTGTTTCACATTTAAAATTGTGGACCCTCTCTCCCCTTCAGTAGTTGGTTATTGTGTTCTAATTTTTGTGTGGTAGTGTACTAGCATTTATAACTATGAAGTGTACAATAGTGTTGTGATTGTTTCCTCAATTTCAAATTGAGAAATGACGGTAGAGAGTTTTGTTTTTCTTGGCAAAATGATTGTCAGTTTGGAGAAGTGAGAAGGCTGAAAATCAATTAGCTGAAGTAGTAGAGTCCATTTTCTAAAACTTTAGTTAACCGATTTCGCCAATTCCATTTTGGTTTAAACAAAAACCCAAGACCTTGAACAATTGTTTAAGAAAAATATCTGGATATTGTAGTTGTATTTCTTGTATCTCATCAATCGATTACATAGGTTTATATACGAGGAATTCCTAGGCTACCTAGCTATTTAGGAATACAAATCATAACCTAATTAGGAGTACGTGTACTATATTGATTTTCCTTAATACTCTCCCTTAAGCTGGAGCATAGATGTTAATCATGCTCAACTTCTTACAAACTACTTTCAGCAAAGCACAATGTCATACTTAGCAACTATACCCACTTCATAATTGTGATAAAAAAAATCCCAAACCAAATAGTAGTAGTAGAATCAAGAAAAGGCACTTGGGTTGTCGAATAGCAGAATCAAGACAGCATACACTTGGGTTGTTGAAACAAGTCTCACTGAACCAACAACTCACAGGGCTATTTCAAGGGGAACTAGAAACAATCTCACGAATCAGAAACAACTCACAGGGCTGTTGCTCACAGGGCTGTTTCAAGCTTCCATAATCGATGCCTCAAAGAGGAAGCCCAGCAGCGCAAATATTCATAAATGCAGCAAAGGAAAATCTGGCAAATGGAGCACACCACTGAAGGCCAAGAATACAACGTAACTCACTGGGGTTGCTCTGCTCTCAATAGGTCGACGCCGGAGAAGGTGGTTGATGCACAGGAGATGGAAAAAACAAATTAATGCAATGAGGAACCACTAGAAAATCATCGAAAATTACCTAAACCAATTGTCGCACCAAAGGAAAAATAGGTTTCCTTAGCAAATTAAAGCAACACTAGTAGCAGAAGACTGCCCGACACAGCTGCAACAGATTTGCAGCAAACAAACCTACTGAATAAGTCCAAGAATGACGATGCAACTCACCGGGTTGCACGTCTCTCTTCGATGTTAGAGAGAGGAACTGGAGTGAAAAATTCCACCGGATGTGCCTTCAAGGGCTAGCATGTGAACCGGGAAGGAAGATAGAGGTGGGGCGTAGGGGCCACTCACTGAGAATCCGATGATCGGATTCTGAGGATGCGCTGATCGTCGGATAATGTGCTGAGGTGGGTGGTGAGACAAAATACTAACCCTAGAAAGGCTTCCTAGGTGGCATGGCTTCTTGTAAGGGAAGTTGCGGGAAGGCCTTCCTAGTGTTATTTTTTTGTATCTCAATCCAATCAATTACATAGGTTTATATATAAGGAATTCCTAGGCTTACCTAGCTATTTAGGAATACAAAATCATAACTAATTAGGAATATACTTAGGAACTAATTAGGAATACTTGCCACTGTATTGATTTCCTTAAACACAACGTAGTCATCAAAATTAAAGCACCTTGCTGATCAAGACATGTAATCAGTTTTGATAAAATTACTGCAAAGGCATGTTCTATTCATGGAGGAAAGGCTACTTCACCTTTTGGACTTGATTAAAAGAAAACCTTTCTTCAGTATTCAAGGAATCTTGGTGTAGCTGTTGTAGGGTATGCAGAGTGAAGTGAGTTCTTGTTGAGCTCTAGTTACCTTGTTAACTGTACTTGAGCTCAACCTTGGCTTGAGCTCAGATTGAGCCTAGAAAAAATTGAGCTTCAAGCTTCAACCTCTTTGCAATTTATAGTTTAAAAAAACTTGTGAGTTCGAGCCAAGTTCAAGCTTATTTAAAGTCTCTTTGGCTGATAGTGAGGCTCATGAGTCAACGTCACAAGTTGCTCATGTTTGAAACGCTGAGCTAAGCTCTATTATGAATGAGCTAGGCTCGAGTTTTTGGCTTATATAAGCTTATTGAAATGACCCATTTTCAGGCTAAGTTTCAAACAGCTTGGCTCATTATAGCCTTTGCTATTGGATATCATGCCTTTGAAAATCTTTGATGAGAATTATTGGTTGTATCAAGTCAAAGTGGATAATGCATATGGGATGACAAGTTGATGGTTAGATATTCTTAAAAAATAATAGCCTATTTATATTGACTGCAGTTTCCATAAACTTTATTGCTGTGTTGATACCGAAGCTACTTTGTAGATCCTATATATTTCAACCAACATTAAACAAATATTATTCCTTCATGAAACCCCTGGCGTGCTTTGAATAATGGAAAAACAACAAGCTTTATGGTGAATCATGATGTGAAGAGATGGACCTAAAAGAAGATTCAATGCTAATTAACATGGTCCAAACATGTGGGCTTGAGTCTTTAAATTAGTTTTATATTTTAATTAGCACAAATCTAGGATCCCAAATAATCTGCTAAAGATCTGCTAATTATAGCTCCTAATCTCAGCAGCTAATTACAGCTAATTACAGCTAATTACAGCAGCAAATCATAACAATTAAGACAGATTTCAGTTTATGCATTTTATTTCAAGAGAGGCAAATTCTTTTTGGTTCTTCATTGAACATGCTTTTGAACTTATTAAAGATAATTAATCTTTGTGGCATTCATCCTTTCACCTTGATATCTATGGTTCATACTTCTAGTTGAGTATTGGGTCAAGATCTGCAATTCCATCCAAGAAGAAATTCCTAATTTGGGATTTAGGGTTTTTATATCAAATCTGATTTGGGGTGTCAATATTCAATTCTTGGGGTTCCGCATCACCTACCCTCAAATGCCTGTTCCATAGTTAACATAGTTTAGTTAGCATATAGAGCTGAACTTTGGTCTTTGAACACAATTGATGTACAAAAGGATGTTAAAAGTTGGTTCTTTTCTACGAGGCTGATATTAGAATGGTCTATGCATCCATGCCCATCATGCAGCATGATGCAGGGATCACAACTTTAATGACCTTTTCTTTACAGTTATGTTTATAGGTTCCAATCTTCCAATCTCAAGATCTTTTTTTTTTTTTTGGTTTTGTATGAAAAAGAACATTTCCTGTTGTTTAATATCCATTAAAGTTGCAAATTTCTAATTTGAGTTTGGAAAAGAGAGCTGTTTGTTTGGGGAGACCCATTTTGTGCTATGCTCATGCAATTGTACTGAAGTTCTTTTCATCTGCTGTAGCACAATTCCTGACCAGGGGATGGACAAGATGACTCAGACTTTGCCCAAAGGAATCTGGTTGAGATTTGATTTTGATGATTCACATCCGGTATCTAACACACCTTATCATGCACCTTATCATGCTTCTTTCTGAATTTGTATTCTTACTTGCCCCTGACTGTATTGAAATCATGTTTAACAGGATTTACCAAATTTATATTTGCGAGGTGGATCAATAATTCCTTCGGGTCCACCTCATCAGCATGTTGGTGAAGCTAATTTGTCAGATGACTTAACACTCCTCGTAGCCTTAGATGAGTATGGTAATTTGATAGACATTATTCTTTATGAAGCATATATTCAACATTTTCATTTGAAGGGATAATTATAAGTTTAAACATTACTGAATTTAGGGCTGCTCGATGAAGTTTGATCTTTTGCTTGCACCTGTGTTTATGATCTGCATTTATCCCAAGAATAATTAGAAAGACTTATCGCTGGTTAAGATACTGATACAGCCATGAAATAACAAACATGAGGGACTGGTGTCATAAAAATCAACAAGCATAAATATGTGTTTCCTTGGAGAACATGATTATGGTGTATATTTGGTACAGCTTATTGATATTGAAGTGTCGAAAAGGAGTGATATAATATTATGAGCTGGGAACATCTGAGTTTGGTCATTAACTTGTAATGGTTGAATTTCAACCTCTGACTTGCACATATAAATCATAGACAATGATTCAGCTTGGAGAATGTTGTGTCAATTGGGTTAATTTACATGCGGTTCAAGAATTTGACTTCAGGCTTTTCAAGAACATGCATGAACTTTTTGATACTTGATTGCAAATCGCATAATTAATATCTTAAACAGTGAATTGACTTAAACAGTGAATTGAGTTTAACCACGAGGTAACTCTATATTGAACTGAGTTTCTGGATACTTCCATACAGTAGCATTAATTAGAGACCTTGGGCTTTAAAACCAAGTTTGTTAGGATCTGGTGGGGAGGTCACAGATCTTAATACATACACAATAAAATAAAAAAAGGAAAAGGGTTGTGTGAATCCCTTCTTCTGATCTGCAGGAAAAGCTAAAGGTGTACTATTTGAAGATGCTGGTGATGGATATGAATTCACCAAAGGTGGCTACCTATTCACACACTATGTTGCTGAACTTCAATCTTCTGTTGTTACTGTTAGAGTTTCCAAAACAGAAGGGGTTTGGAAGAGGCCCAAAAGACGTCTACATGTGCAGTTATTGCTTGGTGGAGGTTGTACTCATGTGATTATTGGCTTAGGATTAGATTTATACCATTGGAAAATTAGTTTGCAGAACTTATTTAATATTTCCTAAACAGGTTGATTTCATGGGGCATAGGGGCATAGATGGAGAAATTGTGCAAATAACAATGCCTTCAGAACTTGATGTTTCTGAGATGATATCCATTTGTGAGAAACAACACAAGAGTCGTTTAGGTAATATTTCTCTTGTAGGGCTGTTAACCTGCAGCTCCCTTCCGCCCCTTTTCCTCCTCTTTGTGGATTTACACGCATGTAACTTGATCAATGTCTATTGTAGTCTTACACTCTTACTATATGTAGTGTGAAGTTCTGATTCATTTCATTGTATGCTTTCATTCAATTGGCCAAACCCTATTTTAATTTCTGTACTTTCTAATTTGTTATAAGTTAGTCTTTTTTTTTTTTTTTTTTTTTTTTTTGGTATGATTTGTTGAAATCTTTGTGGATTAAAGTAATATTGTGTTTCCTATTTAGGTTTATTCCTAATTAGTGTAAAGGATTATGTTTCCTAGTGTTAGGGTTATTCCTATTTAGATTTACTTCCTATATTGGATTCAATTGTTTGTATATATATAGTGGAGTAGAGGCTGAAAATATATCACAATTGAAAGAAATAAAACATATTCTTTCCTTTAATTTTCAGAGCCATTGCCGTGAATTTTTCGGCAACGGTTTCGGTTTGAAATAGGGCTGAGATACACACAGTGCCGCCGGGAGTGGGAGTTGGCTGTCACCACCCAGCTCAGAAGAAAGAGGGACTGCCGATCGGCCCTCCATCCAAGCTGCGTCGCCGTCCGACAACGCGCGTGTGCACGCGCGCCTCTAGAAGTTTTCGGCCGTTCTTCACGCGTCGGCGCGTGCGGCTGTTTTCGGCGAGCTCCGTCGACGGCGCGCGCGGCTGTTTCCGGCGAGCTCCGTCGACGTTTCTTGTTTCGACGAGCTCGACGACTTGTGGTAATTTTTCCCCTACTGTTCTTCAGCACCGATTTTGCGTTTGGAATTTTTTCCGTTTTTTCTGGTGTTTTTTCTGCCGCTGCTAGTTCTTCTGTTGTTTGATTTTTTTTTTTTTTTTTTTTAATCTGACAGTATGGGCGACGGAAAGAAGGTGGATATAAGTTTTCACTCGGAGAGTCCCTCACTTCAGATTAGTCCAGTGAAGTTAGATGCAACAAACTACCTAGCTTGGTCTCGGTCTTGTTTATTATTTATTGAAGCAAGAGGTTTGCAAGGATACCTTGATGGTGGAGCGACTAATCCAGTTTCGACAGATTCGGGTTTTAACAAATGGAAATCTGAGAATTCTCTTATTATGTCTTGGTTAATAAATTCTATGCAGCCAATTATTTCTTGAGGATATTTGCTTCTTGATTCAGCTAAGAAGATATGGGATGCTGCTTCACAGACGTATTCACAAACTGGAAACTATGCTCAGAGGTATGAATTGCGATAGAAAGTTCATGAAACCAAACCAAGCAGGGGGAGCATCCTGACCATCGCTCAGTATTTTGCTGAACTCAGGTTATGGCTGGCAGGAACTGGATTATTATCAAGACTTTCAAGCAAGATGTACTGATGATGCGACTCAAGTTCAGAAGTTGATTGAAGTAGAACGTGTGTGTGATTTTCTCGCTGGCCTAAATAATGAGTATGATCAGATTCGAGTCCAAGTTCTTGGACGAGATCCTTTTCCATCCTTACGACAAGCATACTCATTTGTATAGCAAGAGGAGACTAGGAGGAACGCTACGGTTCACAGATCTACCATTGACAAAGCAAGGTTGATTGCTAATTCTGCAAGAGAACATATCCAGGCTACAAAGAGCAGTTCTTCAGATAGAGATGCGGTAAGAACAGGCACACTAAGGAGTTCTGCTGGAAATTACATGGATGCCCAACTAAAGGGCGTGGAGGAAAGCGGGTCAGTTCTTCTAGACCACAGTCAGTTCTTCTAGACCATAGGCACACATGATCTGATAGGGGGGCTTTATCTTGAGAACCATCTACTGCTGGAAGCTTTTCTGATAAGGATAGATTAGTTCCCTGAAACGATTATTGTCACAGGCTTGATTCGTTCCTTAACTCAGGACTACGGCCATTCAATTTTTTTAATTCAGTAATGCTTTTCCTTAACCTTTCTTGCAAAAATTGCAAGGCCCTCTTGAGTTATAGATTTCTGGGAAGCAAATAAACATACAACAGGCTCGAGGAAAACATTCCTCACATATTTTAAATATAAAGGCATAGAAGGCATAGACAAAATTCGCATTGCGGATGGCTCCTTAGTACCAATTGCTGGCACAGGTTCTATTGACTGTACTTCCAATATTAAACTCTCCCATGTTCTTGATGTTCCCAGATTTCCCATTAATCTGTTATCTGTGAGCTTAATCACAAAAGCACTTAATTGCAAAGTAACTTTCTACCCGACTCGTTGTATATTTCAGGAACTGAACACTGGGACAATGATTGGCAGTGGTAGGGCAGTGGTAGCTTGCGCGATGGACTGTATTTGTTGGATGACGTTTGTCGTTTTTCAAATTCGGGTACCAGTCAAGCTTTGTTAGGAACTTCTAGAGATCCTTCCGATGAAGTTATTCAATGGCATAGGAGATTAGGACATCCAATGGCATAGGAGATTAGGACATCCCTCTTTTTTCGTTTTAGGACGTTTATTTCTCACTTTGTTTGCTAAGTGTGATTTTGATTCATTAGTATGTGATGCTTGTGAACTTGCCAAACACACCATGCATTCTTAATAATAAAAGTTGATTCATTTTGCTACTATTCATTCTGATGTATAGGGTCCTACTAAAATTGTCTCTATTTCTAGTTATAGATGGTTTGTGACCTTTATTGATTGTTGCATTAGATTGACTTGGGTTTGTTTGATGAAAACAAAAAATGAAGTTTTTTCGTGTTTTTAGAACTTCCATAAAATGATTTGTACTCAATTTGATGCGCATGTTAAAATCCTAAGAACTGATATAATGGTACTGAATACATGAATGCAAGATTTTCGTTACCTCATTTAGATTCTAATGGTAGTTAGCCATCAGACAGTTGTGTCAATACTAGTGCTCAAAAATGGATGTAGCGGGAAAGGAAAAATAGGCATTTAACTGGAATTAGCCTAGGTTCCCTTATTTCACTATGAATCTTCCCAAACCATATTTTTGGGGATTGCTATTTTGACTGCTGCTTACCTATCAAGTTGTATGCCTCTTCGTACTTGAAATTTTAAAAACCTCCATTAGAGGGTTCTTCAAGAAAAAAAACTCTAATTCTCTTATATTGTACCTCCTAAAGTCTTTGGATGTGTTTGCTTTGTTCATCAGAATGGTCTCAGCAAATTAGATCCTAGAGCCTTGAAGTGTGTGTTTGTCGTTTACTCTACTACTCAAAAAGGATACAAGTGTTATCATCGTTCTTCCAAGAAATACTTTGTGAGTATGGATGTTACCTTTCGGGAGTTTGAATCTTATTTTTCTTCCCAGTCACCTCTTCAAGGGGAGAAATATCAGCTGGAAGAGGTGATGGATGACATTTCTTTCCAGGGGGAGATTCCTATAGACATAGATAGTAAGAGAGAGCAACTACCCAAATCTCTAGGAAGATTGGATAGACCCTGATTTGAAAACCCTACACACCGGCGGCACTAATACAGAAATACAAACCATGGAAGCATAGACCTACTGATCAACCGTCACTCTCCAATTTTCAGTCCCTGAAGATACCAGAAGAACCAAGAACTTGGTGAGTCTTTCTTTAATTCCTGTTGATTCGTGATCCTAATCTTGATTCAGTCCTTCGACCAATTGACCTTGATATCCCTATTGTCTTCTTAGAAAAGGATTAAGAACATGCCACTAAACATCCATCTCCCATTTCATCACTCTTATAATGCTCTGTCCCCTTTCCTATAGAGCCTTTGTTTTGGTCTGCTTCTTCTGTTTCTATACCGCAGATTGGCAAGAGGCATTACAGGATTCAAAATGGAAGCTGCAAATGGTTGAGAGATGAGAAGGCTTTGGCAAAAAAATGGAACCATGGGATCTTGTAACTCCTCCACCAGGAAAGAAGCCGAATTGGAATGTAAATGGCGTGTTCAAAGTTAAACATTAGGGCAGAAGGTTCAATTGAGAGGTAAACAAGGCCTAGATTTGTAGCCAGAGGATTCAAAGCCCAGACTATGGTGCTGATTATCAGGAAACATTTTGCCCCTGTAGCCAAGATGAACACAATCAGAAATTTGTTGTCTGTGTGCAGTTCCAATCTTGACTGGGAGTTAACAATCAATTTGATGTTAAAAATGCTTTTCTACATGGTGATTGAAAAGAAGAGGTGTATATGGAGATTCCTCCTGGATTTTTGATGATGACAAAAACAGAGGGAAAAGTCTGGCAAGCTGAAGGAAGTCATTATATGGGCTAAAACAATCACCAAGAGCATTGTTTGGAAGATTTAGTTTTAAAGCTATGCTTTCCTTTGGGTATATTAGAGCGATTGCTGATTCATACTTTATTCATTAAACATCATTGAAGGTAGATCACGTTTGGCTTTATTGGTCTATGTTTGATGATATAGTGATTGAATAGAAATAAATGAAGAAAATGACTCACGTTGAGAAATTTTGTTAGCTAGGAGTTTGAGCTTAGGATTTTGAGAAAGTTGAGATATTTCCTTGGGATAGAAGTTGCTTAGGTCAGAAAAAGGATTTTTTATTTCTCCAGAGAAAGTATATCCTTGATCTCCTTAAAGAATACTGTTATTGGATGTAAACCTGCAGAATCACCTATTAAGCTAATCATAAGCTTCAAGCTGGAAGTGGGAAGTCCAGTTGACATTGGCAGGTATCAGAGATTGGTTGCGGAGGTGAATTACCTTGCCCATTACATAGACCAGATATTGCCTATGCTGTAAGTTTAGGTGAGTCAGTACATGCATTGGACCTTCGCGGAGTCTCATTTAAACCAGTGCACGGATTCTGAGAATATTAAAAATCACGCTCCAGGTATGAGGACTTTTTATTTTGCTTAAACATGGCCATTTAACAAAAACAGGCTATAACAGATGCGTATTGGGACTAGTTCCTTTGATGACAGGAGATTCAACCTCAGGTTATTGTGTTTTTGTTGGAGGAAAAACCTGGTCACGATGGAAGAAAGCAAGAAGCAGGCTGTTGTTGCAAGTCCAGTGCAGAAGCTGAGTATAGAGCTATGGCATAGGAATCTGTTGAACTTCTATGGTTGCGCAGATTAATGGAAGAGTTAAAGTTGCGTTGAAACAAACAAATATATCCTTATTTTGTGATAGTAAAGCAGCCAATCAGGTATTATGACAATCCAGATCCAGCATGATCGAAAACTAAGCACATAGAGATTGATTCGTCACTTTTTATAAAAGAGAAGATAGTTGAAGTTTTATAAGCGTCCCTATATAGCTTTCAAAAAAGAGCAAAACTAGCTGATGTTTTTCACAAAGGGTTGCCTAGCAAGTGTGTTTGATCCTTTAGTTTGCAAGTTCGGGCAGAGTAATATCTATGCCACCAACTTGAGGGGAGTGTTTGAAAATCTTTGTGATTAAAGTAAATATTTGTGTTTCCTAGTTTAGGTTGTATTTCGAATTAGTGTAAAATTATGTTGCCTTAGTTTAATGTTATTCCTATTTAGATTACTTCCTATATTGGAACAATTTTTGTTTGGAACAATTTTTTGTATATATATAGTGGAGTAGAGGTTGAAAATATATCACAATTGAAAGAAATAAAACATATTCTTTCCTTTAATTTCTACAATACTAAATGAGCAGGTTTGGTTTGAATTCATAGTTGAAAGCTGCCTCTTTTCTTGTCTCCTTTTTCAATTATTGTCCTTTGGATTTCTTTTAGCTACAAGATTTACTTTTTGGTATGGTTGTATGTTGCTTTCTTGGGCTTGGGATAAAATTAAATGTGGTTTCTACAGTTCATAGATTTTGGGTTTGAATTTACTGTTAACTGCTGTTAATAGATGAAAATTTGGTGCCTGTGCTGAATTTATGTAACCGTGACTGTCAATAATAGTCATTGCCAAAGTGCTGGTTGCTCTTGAGTGCTGAATCGGTAACGATTCATGTTCTAGAGACTTGGTATTAAGGATGTAATCATGAAAAAGCATAAACTAAATTGTTAATCAGCTGAAATTCGAAGATCAGGAAATTGGAAAAATTTTAAAAGTAATATACTGCTTCAATATGTAAATTTGTAAATTTGCAAAATTTAATTTGGTGAAAGGGGAGTTGGAAACTCACATTATTGTGGATAAACATGCCTCAGAAATGATGAGTGTCAACTGTTCTTACTACACAATTTTGACTGAGCTTTTGCTAGGCCATTTGGAGTTGTCCTCTTTATGTCTATTTTCTAGTTTTTTCCGTTGTTAAAATAAGTGTGCAAAACAGCTACGACTCTCTTGCATTCAACTTTTATAGTAGGTTATTTAGCAAATTTATTTCCTATATGCTTAAATTTACTTATAAGTTCTGAAATTCACATGGTTCTTTATATCATATGTGATTTTAATAGGAATGTGAAGCTAGGAATGTGAAGCTCTTTACTCATTGTTAAATTGTTAAATGCAGAAAGCTCTAGGCATATTCCAGATGTTGAAGAGGTTTCTGGACCCAAGGGAGCAGAACTTTCGAGAGTCCCAGTTGAATTGAAAAGTGGCGATTGGATTTTAAAAATAGTTCCCTGGATTGGGGGGAGAATTATTTCCATGGAGCATCTTCCATCAGGTACTGATTATAATTCTCTTTGTATGATCCATAATACCATTAGCTTTTTGAGATCACATCATACAATTCTTTGGTCATTACCCAATTATAACCTATCAAAATGGAGCACTCGGAAGTAGAATTTGTTGAGTCCCTACCAAAAGCATACTTTCTTTCTGGAATAAATAAATTTTACCATTCGTCAGCTAAATTCTGTTCAATAATCAATATTGTTTTTATATACCAAAAAAAATGGAAAAAGGAGACAACACAAGGAGAAGGTTGGCTAACATCTCTTAGTAGAACTCATATAATGGATGCAAAGATACAATTTAAGGAAAATGTATGTTTGTCTCTTTCAAAGGTTTAAAGAGGGATATTTCGGATTTATTTAGGGGGTTTATTGCTGATTCATTTAGGGGGCTTCATGAATTTTGAGAAGATAAAATTGAGAATTTCTTGTGTCCTTCTGCTATTTAGTTATGCAATATATGATTTCTATTTTCTTGATGATCAATCACAGGAATACAGTGGCTGCATAGCAGGATTGAGGTTGATGGATATGAAGAATATAGTGGTATGATGGAGTACCGGTCTGCAGGATGCTCAGAGGAATACAATGTCATTGAGTAAGTGGGTCGAGATGTGCTAAGCTAGTGTTGCTAAGCTTTTGGTTCTCCTTACACAGTTGTAGTTTTGCAATCTTTCTCCTATGAAACTGAGATCTTGCTGTCCAAGTTTCACCCCATCTCCACTGGAGATAATTATACTTACCACAGCCTGAACCACAAAGGTTCAGGAATCATAGGAATCTATTATACCCTGGAAGGGTCAGAGCTTTGCAATTTCTTAATGGTTGTTTATACTTGAAAGGAACTTCTTGAAAGGAACTTTAATTTCTGCTACTATCACTTCTGTTTATGTGCTTGCTATGGACTTGAGTTTACAGAAATTAAATTATTTCTGGGTAGGCGGGATCTTGAGCATGCAGGAGAGGTGGAATCTCTTATACTGGAAGGTGATATTGGTGGAGGATTGGTTCTTCAACGACAGATATCTATTAAAAAAGATGATCCAAAGGTTGTCCATATTTATTCTGGCATTATAGCCCGTAGGGTTGGAGCTGGTTCTGGTGGATTTTCCAGGTTAGACCAAAAGAGATTTATTTTTAATATCTTTGCTAATGATTTCTGGTGATACTTAATAATTCGGAATAGATTGAGTGTAAGGATGGTGAAAATACATTCATTTTGCCTATTGTCCAACCTGCAATATTAATCAATCCAAGGTTGTTAAAATCGCTTTTCTAAGCAGAATAGGTAGAGGGTCTAGAAAATCAAATTGTAAAATTGAATCGTGAAATCAGAAGATTTTATAAACACGCCTAAAATAAAAATTATTAATTATCACTTAAATCAAAATAGTAAAAAATTATTATATGATAAAAATTTCTAATTGAATTTTAATTTAGAAAAGTCATATCGTAAAAAACCCAAAGTTTGTGCTTGGTGGCTCGACCTATAATTGGACCATTGTATAGCTGTCAAATAAATTGGTCATGAATAAGGGTGCATATGCTTCAAGGGGCAATTAGTCCCATTGAATCATTATTAGACAGCTCACCCATCTCTTTAAATCCATAAAACTCCCTTAAAAGCAACTGGGAAAAGGTCAAACTTTTTGTCTCTTTTGAATTCCATCTCACGACCTTTCTGAGTCCCTATCTCTTTTCTTTTCTTATGATTCATGACCTAAGTCTCCATCTCTTCTCTTCTAAATCTCTCTCTTCTTTTCTCTTACAGAAAAGTTAGGGTTTTTCACACCAATTCTAAGGATCAAAAACAAAAGCTTGTATATCTTCTTTATCTCTATTTTTCTCTTTCTCTTGATTTCTTCGATCTTCTCTGATAAGGTAATTGACATTGATTCTTTCATGGAGACTTAGTGTTTTAGAGCCCGAAATATATCTGCTATTAGATTCTAATTTGCATTGCATTTTCACAGAGACTTGGTGTTTTTCTAAAATTCCATGGGAAGCAATTTGTGATTTTAACTATTTCATCAATTTTTGAAGTCATTTCATGACGTCATAACGATTTTTGTAATTTGCAATTTTGCAAGTGAACACATTTTAGGCAATTGGGATCATGAACTCGTACGATTTTAATTGTGATTTTGATTACCATGGATAAATCCAACAACTCAACTTGCAGTATCAACAGATTCGTAGCAATATGTTTATATGTTTTTGATAACCATGGAGCAAGAGAACACTTTCGTTTTTTGTTTTAAACAAATAAACCCAAGTTAATTTAATACAATAATCAATGAAGGTAACTAACCACCTCTTTTTAGATAATGAAATAGGAGTAGTCCACATAGAATAGTTGTGAAAGGAATATAACTTTTATTATTATGGGAAACATAAGTGTTCCTTGCATGTTTAGCAAGTTCACAAGCATCACAAACTAGGGATTCTAATTGACACTGGCCAAACAAGTTAGGATATAATTTTTTTCAGAACGACAAAGGGATGTCCTAATCGCTTATTCTACATAATTACTTCTTGACTAGTACCACTACTACTTCCTTACAGTGCTCAGGATACACTTGGAGCTAGCCAATTGCTACTCTTTTCAAGGAGATTTAGATCATCTTGCAATCTACCAAAGCCAATCGTTTCCCTGTTCTCAGATTATGCAAAACATAATAAATAGGAAAAACACAACTTTACAATTAAGAGCTTTTATAATAGAACTAACAGATAAAAAGGTGAACAAAATTTGAATTGAATTGATGGTAGAGGTGCACTGAATAGAACCCATGTCAGAAAGAGATGCAAAAGAACCTAAACGTTTGTTTTTTTTTTCCCTTTATTTTTTCACAATGCTAATACATAAAAAAATATTGTTCTTTTATTTTCCTTTCGCATATTATAAAGCAATGATTGATAAAGAAACAAGAATTATATATGAAAAAGAAAATTTTTAAGAAATAATGTTTTTTTCCCCTAATTGAACTTACAACGACTTTATTGGATTGGCCACAATTATTTTCAATATCGAAAACTTATCTCTACAATTGATAGAATTAATAGGATTGAAAAATACTGGAATAGTGCACAAAGTTTAACATTTTTTCATTTGCCTTTAAAAAGTAGTTTTAAATGAATAAGCAATACTATCAAATTTTGAAAAGATTAATTCAACTATAGCTTTTTATTCAAATATGGTATGATGTAATTCCTCAAAATTTTTAATCATTAATAACAGAGTAAAACATTTTATACCTTGACATCATATTCCTGTTGACTCTTGAAGATGAAATACATTCTGGAAGCAAATGCCAACAAAGTGTTTTTTTTTTTATTATAACCAGGAGGTTTAATCCCCCTCGAACCGTCTAGCGTAAAGGCTTTTTGTCCCTCCCTGCAAAGTACGCTTACGTAAAGGTTTTTGGCCCTCCCAGCAAAGTGCACTTCCAGGGATCGAACTTGTGGTTTCACCCTTACATGGATTGAAGTCGCTAACCACCTCAACCAATACCTTGTTGGTAAATAAGTGTTTTTTTTTGAGTATTGCGGTGAGGGATTCAAACCTGGATCTATTCCCAGGTCGTATATGCACTTATCACTAGGCTATTATGCACTTATCACTAGGCTATGCCTTGGTGTGCGCCAACTAAGTTTTAGTATATGTCATTTATTGTGCATTTGGAGTTGGTCAGGACAATGGCAGATGAAAGTGTATGACAATCTGCTATGCACAGTTCTTGGTACTTATTATGCAGCTACATTCTGCAGTTCATTTAATTCAGTACATCTTATTGTCTCTTTGAGATGGTAATTGAGATATTTCATTTCAGTCATATTTGATCATGAGTTGTCTTTAGTTTCTTCTTCCTTGGTTGCTTCTCTTGCATGCTACATTTTCTTCTTTCTTCTGATCAATTTTTATTTTATTGTGTGAAAAATAAATGTTGATTCTTACCTCTTTGTTGTTGTTAATGTTGTGATGTAGGCTTGTTTGCTTGAGAGTACATCCGACCTTTACCCTGTTGCATCCCATGGACACTTTTGTCTCTTTCACTTCCATTGATGGATCAAAGCATGAAATTTGGCCTGAATCTGGGGATCAATTTTATCAAGGGAATCTTCTTCCAAATGGTATTTGCTTCCCTTTATTTTAGTAGGTGCCTGTCTTCTTCGCCTGTCTTCTTCATCTGTCTTTTCCTATTCTTTGCTTCTATAAATTTAATTTAATTTTTTTTACTACAATAAAAAAGTGAAAAAACATATGTGAAACAGAAGAATTGCAATGAAAAAAATATAAAAAAAAAAACACATAAAGCAAAAGGTCTGAACAAATTTGGCTAAAACAATTTCCCTGTTAAGTTACCTAGTTCTTTGTTGGACAACAAATGGGGCTCCATTCATGGATTTGTTAACACCCGTCATGCCTTTTATGAAATTAGTTTACATGTACGAACTATATGTCCCAGGGTAAATGCTTCTCTAATTGATCATGGATTTCATTCTTGTCACTTAGAGTTGTCTTCCTTGATGATGTTCTGTTTGTTTGGGGTTGTGGGAATTTATTTGCTGATGCATTATATTCAGCTTGAAAATCCATGTTCCTCAGTCTCATTTTCTTAATGAACTTAAATTTGCATTCATTGTATGCAAAGTTATCTGTGTGATGCATTTACTATAAAGCACAAACACTTTTGTTCTGCTGAAGTGTCTGACAACACTTGTCTGACACGTATTCCACATGTATCAGACATGGCTTTATAGTCCAAATTATATATACACAGCTGGAATAGCAAAATTATCATAAAACGCTTTTTTAAGATAATCTTGTTTTCATTAGTTTGAAATTTTTAAAGCTGTAAGGAATAATATGAGCTAAATATGAAAAAAATTAACTTTCAACAGTGCTCTTTCATGATGTAACTCCCAGTCAAGATTGACTGCACAAGACAACAAAATTCTGATTGTGTTCATCTTGGCTACAGGGGCAAATGTTTCCTGATAATCAACACAATAGGTCTGGCTGATACCAAGATTGAAAAGATAACACACAATAAAAGAAATACGAAATATTCTTTCAACATTTTTTATTATTGTGTCCCTCCCATGTTGTGTACTAATTTTTGAAATAGCTGTATTGGTATGTTCATGTGAAGTTGTATTTATGATGTGTTCTGCATTTGTGTCTGTCTGTATCCATGCTTCACCTTATCAAATCTGACTTTTCTTCTTCTTCTTCTTCTTTTTTTTTTTTTTTTTTTTCGTCCCTGCCTTTTTACTTTTGGACCTCAAAAATAATGTGCATGAGCCTAATGTGTGTATCTGTGCATTGTGACATTTACTATTTACTCAAAGCATTCTGAACAGAAATGCTTTTCGGTTACAATGCAGTTACATGCATGATTTAATTACCAAATTCCATGTATTAGCTTGTGAAACAATATCTGATGCTACCTAATCATCTGATCAGCAACTTCAAAAAGTGCAAAATTTAATTGCATTGGAAAATTAAAATTTCAAAAAAACAGAAAATAATCAAAATGATATATACAAATAGTTCACTTTTCTTGAATTAGATCTACATGCATAAGGCTAAAACAAAATTGGTAAATTCACCATAATTATAGAGATTAAAATTACAATAATCCCAAGTAAAGATGATGGCTGCCAACCTGCAACTCAAAATGCTCAACATGAGTTCCTAGACTCACTGAAAGAGCCTCCTCTACACAGAAAGTTGTAAATCATATATAGAAACTACATGAGTTGTTCCCACTTATGATAAGGTTCAACTAGGTGATTATATTTCCAGCCGTTTTCAAGGCCTTTGACTGCTAGTATTATGCCATTAACATTGCTAGACTGCTACATTAGAGGCTGAAATTCCTGGCATAAAATGTATATAAATGCGATGTGCTGCTGATCCTTTTCTCATTTCCTTTTCTCATTTCTTATATATACTGATACAATGGTCAAAATTAGTTAAATGTGAAATTGCAGTTCATATATACACTAGGGTCCTATAGTAGTTGTCTTAGTCAGTCAATAGAGCAAATGCGAAGAAATGGTGAAACCTATTA